AAGCATAGTTATACATCCCATTACTGGGCATATATCTCTCATTTCTGAGAGGATTACGGGGAAATTATGAGGTGAGCTCCGTGTATTAGTTTATGAAGCAATAACATCTGTTAGGTTTATGTACATGAAGCCGGATGCACAGCGCCGTATCGTAAGTTATTTCATACAAAGAAAATCGCCTACGAGACGCACTGCCACAGCACAGCAACCACTTTAACGTCGTGTTAACTTGCAAAGGCCCCAGTCTTGTAAAATTAGTGTTCTCGCAAAACTTAAAGCAAAACAAATATTTTTTATAGTATTTAAAAAAGAAAAGAAAAAGTGAAACATATTTCATATTTATTGAAAGTGTAGGATTTGATATTTTCGAAACTGTTTTTAATTTTATTTTGGTGTTTAAATTAATAGCTCTATTAGGCGTTAAACATGCCTATGTTTAGGGTACATGCGTAAGAGGTCTTATTCAAGCCTCTGAAAAGTATTCAGAGCACATTTATTTAAATATTGTCTGCAATAATCTGATCTGGTCACTTTTTTTATAAATGCTTTAATTTTCTTATTTGGAGGGCTTAAAAAGTTGTAATTTCATGATTTTTTACTGATCTATTTTTTTCTATTAGAAGTATAAATATAGCGCAGTCGTACTTAAAACCATATAAAATAGAACTATTTCAAGTGAATTAGAAATAAATAAAATTAAAAATATATATATTTTCGTACTTTTTACCTATATTCTATTTATAAACCAAAAACGCCTGAAAATTCACTCAGTTCCGCTGGGATTTCTCGGCGTTCAGACGTGTGCAGTGTTGCTCAACGTTACTTTACCTCTCGCTCGCACGGTTGATCTCTTTCCCTCGCGCTGGGCTTATAGACTGAGCGGAGCATATCGTGAAAGTTGCTCTATTTAAATATATATTATTTTTATTTAATTGTCATATTAGTTCTAGTTTTAAGTGTATTAGTGTTCATATTAATATTAGATTAATTGACTTGGACTTTTATATTTGGAGAATTTCAATTTATTACCAAAAAAAAAAACGGAAAAAGATGGATAGAAAGAAGAAGAAATATACGAAAAATAGTAGTAAAAGTAGTAGTAAAGTACAAAATGTACAAGGTAGAGGCGAAATTTGTATGAAGAGGCAGTTTTTATTTTCCTTCGGTTGTATGTAGCCTTTTTAAACCTACATCCCGTATAAACATTACTAAAAATGACATTTATGAAATATAAAAGTGTAAAAAATTATACTACCACGACAAAAGTAAAAGGAATATTTTTGTACAAAAAAATTAATAAGTTATATATTTAATGATCTGAGACGTGGTCCTTCACTGCTGGCCGTATGAGGACGCTGAAGGTCGCTCAGCGAGCTATGGAGAGGGTTATGCTTGGAGTTTCTCTGCGTGATAGACTCAGAAATGAGGATATCCGCAGTAAAACCAGAGTGACCGACATAGCCCAACGGATTAGTAACCTGAAGTGGCAATGGGCCGGCCATATAGCTCGAAGAACCGATAACCGATGGGAAGAAGGGTTCTCGAGTGGTAGCCTCGTACCGGTAGGCGTAGTGTAGGGCGATCCCCCACTAGATTGAGTGAAGACCTTGTAAAACATGCAGGAAGTCGATAGATACAGGTGGCTCAGGACCGTGCTTTGTGGCATTACTTGGGGGAGGCCTATGTTCAGCACTGGACTTGTGAAGGGCTGTAATGATGATGATGATGAATGATGATATTTAATGAAGTAGAGCAACCTTCACCTGCGATCTCGAACGTATTTATGCACGGGGGCGAGCGCCCCCTCTAATGGCTGTGAACGTAAAACAGCAAAGCTAGACCTTAGCCTTAACGTGCTTAAATTCCAGCAGCGCAGTTTCCAAACAAAGTTTTCAAATTCATGAGATATTTGGAATGTTCTTCTTAAATTCTTAGCACCATGTGTGTGAGCGCGCGCGCGTGTGTGTGTCGTGAGTATCAAATTGTAGCAAATAATGTTTTTCACGCGGGGCACACTTAAAATATGCGGCAGTAGACTAAAATCAGACTGTCGCTTTTTGTTGATGTAACAGTAGATATTAATCAAAAAATATTGTTAACAGTTTCTCCTAAAAATGTGGGGCCAGCAACTTAACTCTGCGACAGCAGCAGAGAAAAACTCAGTTAAACATAAAATGGCAAGGGCAACATACACTCAAACACAAGTATATCTCAAGCCTCTAACTAGAAAATTAAAGAAAAAGACTTTACCTGAAGACATTTGTGACAGCCTTATGGAAATAACAAAGCATCTGTTGGAAAGAAATTATATTATGGTAATTATGGTACAATATCTTATTTCTTGTAGCAGTTTAATTATAACACAACTGGAGCTGTATATAACAATCACTCTAATACAACTACAGTGACGCAGTCAGTCAGAGTATTTCAGGTTCAGTTAGTATATATGAGTAGGAGTACTATATGGATCTCAAACTTTCGATAGGAAGTTAAAGAGTAATACAAAGATATGTGTTGCCATTTTTGTATCTTTAATTTTCACAACATTGTTTGCATACCTTATAGCACTTCAATGTTATGTCATATGCAGTTAATATTTTTCGTATTTCATGGCTGCTTTTCATCTATCGTCCTTTTATATTAGTTATGTGCTATTAGCACAGATCATTATTACAGTACTGTCTTCGTATTTAGCCCATTTTAAATTCACTGCTGAACATAGGTCTGCAATAAAAAATATGATGTGATAGCATACAAACATCTAGAAAGAGTTGTCTTCATCGCCACTTATCACCAGGAAGGATTGTGTTCACACATAGGCTTATATAATAAGAAAAAAATACTGTAAAAAAGAGTGTCTGTGTGAGTGTGAAAAATGTGTAAAAATTCTCTTCTCTTGACAATCCCGTTTTATGAATATCTGAATTTATTACAGGCAAGTGATGCTTACCTGCAAATGGCAATAGGAAATGCCCCATGGCCAATTGGAGTAACTATGGTCGGTATTCATGCGCGTACAGGTCGTGAAAAAATCTTTTCGAAGAACGTAGCCCATGTGATGAACGACGAAACACAAAGAAAATATATACAGGCTTTGAAAAGACTAATGACAAAGTGCCAAGAATACTTTCCAACTGATCCGTCTCGATGTGTGGAATATAATACCATAAAATAAAAGAAAATTGCTTTTTATTTGCTGTCCAACCAAAATTTCATTTCATACCTACCTTTTGACGTGACAACGTCTAATAAATCGACGAACGCCGACTGCGTGCACGAAAAATGATGACTCGTCGATGATTGTCCCGTTACGCCCCAGCCAAACCGAGCACGATCGGAGCGAGAGTGCGGCACGAACGAGCTAAAGACGATTGGCAAGCACGACGCTCAAGCCAATGTAGACTTCATTTCACTCCTTTGTATCCATACAAAATAGTGATAATTCAATAAAAATAATTCAATTTTATTCATAAAAGTATGCAATTATTTCATCAATGTTTTATTATGATGACGTCACGTTAAACTTTCGTCCGTAAACCGAATTTACAATCATTTTTTAAAACAGGGCCTGATTTACCCACAGGCTAATAAGGCTGGAGCTCAGGACGCGTGGTCCGAGGGGACGCTTGTCTACAGAAGTGTAGTTTATAAAATTTGGTGTAATAATCTTAATAAATAATACAGTACAGAAATGTAGCAAGCATTTTACTTGTTATTCTTTCTTTATTTTTGTTGCAAAACAAGTTTAGATTGTAAAAATAAGAATTTTAATTATTTGTTGCCTTTCGTCCTTAGACCATATTTCGTCTTATGTTGACAGACTGGCTGTGATTCAAAGATTTTAAATATCTTAAGCTCCTTCTCTACCTATAACTTAGTTATGGTGTTTTGCCAAGGGTGTCCATGGGACCTTCTGTCGATTTCTTCCATATCTGTTTAGCAGTGCCGGATCAACCACGTAGCAAGAGTAGCAATTGCTACGGGCTCCGCGCAAAAGGGGCCCAGCGTATCCAAGCATCCCATAATCGCTTAAGCGTACTTTTTTAAGTTCAACTTATTAAGACGGTATATTGAATTTACTTGGTGTCACATAAACGTGAAACGTAGCAAATGACAGTAGGTAACCGATTATTTCGTTGACGAAAATCAAACAGAATTTCATACAGTAAACGTACAAGTTTCAATGACCAACACGTCGAATAGCTCGGTTCTCATACTACTGATCATAGATCTGTTTACGGCTTTGCCTTGGCATATGGTCTGGCATAAATGTTCACTTTGCCCATGCATATTCCAGATGTGGAGGATCATACACCTTCCCTGTTGGACCTTCTGCTGATCTCTCATCCGGATGGCTATCAAGTGTCCGATGATGCCTCTCTTGGCTCTTCGGATCATTTACTGATCCGGAGTACAGTGTCTATCACTTGCTCATTGCAGGCACGGTCTGTGGGCGACCACCGTGTGTGTCATAAGTCAGCGGATTGGGATGACATGTGGGGTTTTTTTTGCATCCTACCCATGGGTAGCGGATTATTTTCTCGCTAGATGATCCCAAAAAATTCGTTACTGAGTCTGTCGCCGGTGTGTTTCCTCAGGGGATGAAACTTTTAATCACGTCATCCGCAGTGCCTACCGGCGGCAGATCCCAGTATTGGTCTGGAAACTTTTTTTATAGAATAGGGTGACATACTAGCACACAGTCCACCTGATGGCAAGTGGATTCTGTGGCCCATAGACATCTACATTTATCCTCGATTAACCCTTAACTATACAAGGGTCAAAACAGACCCGGACTAACTTTTGATCGATCATAAGTCAACATTAGTTCGATATTCACTCACACCGTGCCCTGTATTCCTCGGTCGCACAGAACACAACAATGCAAGTGCACGCATGTCTAGTTTTGGTGCGAATTTTCGGAATTGCGTACGCCCTCGGGTCAGATTTGACCCATATACCTTAAGTGTTACTTTTTGTTTCGGAGGCGAAGTTTGAAAATGGCGGAAAATGAAGAAAAACAAATACTGCGGGGGCTTGATGAGTGTGAGAGTGACTCGGACTATGGCGACAACTGCTCCGAACATATTGATCACAACTCAGTGTCTAAACTAAGTGAATTGGAGGATAACTCGGAGGAGTCATCACGTTTCGACACTGCGAGAAGTTTTGCTGAGATTGTTTCACAATATGACGAGCTCATTCATGGCGAACCACTACCACCACCATCACGATCACGTGGTTCATCCAGAGGTTACTGGTACGGACGTAATCAGTTTAAATGGTCGAAGACGCCTCCATATTCTTCGAGAACTCGACGTCAAAACATTGTTACCCAATTACCTAGTTTGCCAGGGAAAGCACGTCGAAACAAGTCGACATCTCCACTGCAAGCGTAGGCGATCCTGTTTACTGATGAACTAACTGGAAAGATCCTAGAATTTACCAACAACATTATACGTTGTCAGATTTGTTTGTCCTTCGAAAGAGGAAGAATAAAACTAACATTATTTGCTCAAAATGTGTATGTAAAGTCTACTGTATTATGCTTGCAACATGTCAAAATTGTATGCAACTTTACATTTTTTATTTATTTTATAAATATTGTTTTCTAACTAACATAATTATATTTCATCGCTTCATTCTTCAGATATAATATTAACAACGTAGTTCCCTTATTATTTTTTTTATAGAAGAAGGGGCAAACGAGCATGTGGCTCACCTGATGTACTTAAGTGACTACCGCCGCCCATGATCAACCGCAACACCAGGAGAATTGCGGGTGCGTTGCCGGCCCTTTAGAAAGGAGTAAGCTCTTTTCTTGAAGGTCCCCAGGTCGTATCGGTCCGGAAAAATCGCCGGTGGTAAACTACTATTCTACAAGGCTAGTCGCACCTTTAAAGATTTTTACTCTACCCACATCAAAACAATTGCCCCTTCCTACAAACGTCTCTCGCCGTCCGAGCGTACTCTACTGCCTCATTCTTTTAGAGATATTATTTTAAGCAAAACTTTTTGTGGGTTATGGGTGGGAGGGAAATTATATCTTCGAATGAAGCGATTCATATAATACTGATCGAACTTCACTTGTAGAAGTTCGTTTGATCATATATTATATTTCATCGCTTCATTCTTCAGATATAATATTAACAACGTAAATGTTTAGAGCTTAAAGTTTTGCTTATTGTAATTTATTACTTATTTTATACTTATAATTTATTACTTATGTGTACTTTGAACTTTAAAAAAAATCATAAAAAATATAATTTATTAGTTCGATTGTAACAAAATAACGTACAATTATTCACTTGTCTATCTTATTTAATTAATCAAATTTAATTATTTAGGAGGACAGTTCTTGCAAACTTATTTTCGTCAATAATTTGGCGATGATAAAATTTTGCAAAGGTCTCTGATGCTGACGACCAACCGGCTGTTTTTCTGATCGTATCTAGAGAGATTCCAGCAGACCTAGCAGCCGAGGTGACAGCATGGCGGGTGCTGTGTGCACTAAACACAGTCACGTCCACGCCGCTCTCCGCTAATACTTTCTTAATCCACCTGCTGATAGATTGAGCAGAGGCCGCCTTGTGTGGCCGCCTGTAGGTTAGCAATAGGTTCCGACAATCTGCGGGTCTTATTTTATTTGTAATCTATAAATAATCTTATTTCCGTGCCTGGACAAATATTTTTAATTTTAATAAAATAAGGTAAAATTAGAAGGGGTAGCTGATGTTCCGCTGTTTTAATTGTATCAGTGATGCTGATTCTAATATCTGAACGTATCTTAATATAATAAGAAATAACCGTAATAAAAATAAGAAGCGATTGGCTTGGCGTTAAGAAACAGGCATAAATATGATAAACCTAATGAAATAAGTGTCTAACGACCTTTCTACTTACAGTGTTAGTGATTACAAACATGTCGGTACATAGCATACGCAGTGCCGTCTTTAGGATCAACGAGGCTATGGGCCAAGGTACTGGCTGGGGCCTATGTAAGGGATGGAAAATCCTTAAATTTTAACTTTATCATTTTTCAGTTTACAATAACGCAATAGGCTAAATCGTAACCCCGTCTCTTAACACCCCACATATGAGAGTTCAATAAATAAATTTTTTGAATCTAAAAAACTAATACCCCACCAATTCTAATTTAAATAAAATTGAATGAAAACCATATATTATAATCTATACAAAGAACAATACTTATATTTATTCATATACAAATATATGAAAGTGACGTCATCCGTGACATCATAGCCTATAACAGCATTGGTTAGCGAGCCACTGCATACCAAGTCTATAACTACAGCGCGATGCTGCGCCGAATCTTGTTTAATAAACAAGGGCTATCGGTTTTTCTTCGAGGAAGTGCCGTAAACTGTCCCCGCTGTATTAGATCGGACTACAATATTTCGTCGTTCCGGATCGACCTCAGTTCTCAATGGCTTCTCAAACGAACACTTGGCATTTCAACTTATTTCTTAATTCATTTTTACTTTACAATTAACTTATTTGCTTTGTTTTAAATACCCGTAATTTTAGCCATGCATACATTTAATTTCTTACAATTTACAATTTTCGTATATTTTAATTTCTTTAAACAAACGATTAAATGTAATGTTTATAATGCCATGTAAACGTTTTCTCAATTACAATATTCAAACTAACGCGCCAAAATCTTCATTCGGATTCTTACGCATGCGCGCTCTTGCGCGCAAGCAGAAGCGCGATTGTTTTGAAAGAAACTTGTTTAAGCTTGCTTTTGTTTTTGGTGAGAAAATGAATAGTCAACGTCCGTGTTTCGACACGTGAAACAGCCAGCAGGTTCATTAGTTCATTACCAGATTTTCACGCGATGTAGCAACAGTTAATTTAGTATTGTTTATCGAATCATTTGAAGTACATCAAAATCATGAATCGTGTTTATGAAAGTGGTGCTGCAAAAAAACGAAAAGCGAAAGAAGAACAAAAGAAAATAGACAAGTTACCAAAAATTACTGGATTTTTAAAACAACATGACATTACTAGTAAGTAATACTATATATTATTTGAATTAAGAGTGATTAGTTCATTAATTGAGTCCTATAACCTCATTGTTGTTCGCATGTAGCAAAAGTTTTTTTATGAAAAGTCGATTTAATATCATTTTTATGAAATTAATTTATGAAACAAACCGTGCTAACAGTATGATAATAAGATCATTGCATTTTATTTATTAGGCAAAAATGATGAAACGCCAAAAGGTACCGCTGATTTACAGGAAAATGTTATTCAAAACGAATCAGTCGATTTGAATCCTTCAGAACAGTCGGAATTATCAGTAGCTACACAAGTTCTTATAAATCATAGAACAGAAGGTAAATAAAGAGTTTCAAATTGTAAATATTTAGATTCTAAAAAAGCTGAATAATTTTAAATATTTTTTTCAATTAAAAGCGATTTACAAAAAATATATTTTATTTTAATAGAGGAGGCAGCATTGAGAAGCACGTCAGAAAAAATTGAAAGTTATTCGACTGATATTGCGTTATGGGGCGAAATCAACGAGAAGTTACGATTATACTGGTTGCAAAAAAATCCAGGTTTATGCAGCAATAAGGATAAAGATTTCTCAAAATCTGCACGGATTTACCAAGAAGGAGATAAACAAAAAGTGAGAACTCTAAACAAATCATTATTTCAATTGAAACTACAAAATAATGAAATAGTAGAGCGTGAGTGGTTATCGTATTCGCCATCAACTGGACGTATATATTGCTTTGTATGTCGACTTTTTTCATCTGAAAAAGATCAATTTACATTTTACGGATTTAATGATTGGAAACACCCAGAGCGAATTACGGAGCATGAGCAAAGCAAAGCTCATAAACAAACTTTAACTATTTATTCTAAACGGAGAAGAGAAACTGGTAGTTTAGAAAATGCATTAACGATTCAACAAAAAAATGAGAAAAATTATTGGATTCAAGTATTACGTCGAATAACTGACACTATAAAGTTTCTTGCTTCACGAGGTCTCGCTTTTCGAGGGGAGAACGAACGATTCGGATCTAGTCAAAATGGCAATTACTTAGGTATTTTAGAATTACTGAGCGAATATGACCCTTTCCTTAAAGAGCACATTAATACCTACGGAAATAAAGGACATGGAGTAACATCATACTTATCAGCTAATATTTGTGAGGAATTTATAGGCCTTATGGGGGAAAAAGTTCTTGCTTGCATTATAAGTGAGTTGAAGAAGGCAAAATATTATTCTTTTTCTGTGGATTCTACGCCGGACATCACTCATCTAGATCAATTAACGTTCACCGTGCGCTACGTTACCGATCAGGGGCCTATCGAACGTTTTTTAATGTTCGTTCCTATAGAAGGTCATAATGCCGAATATTTAACAGAGGTTGTAGTCAAATTTTTTAAAGATAATGATATTGATATAAATGACTGTAGAGGTCAATCTTATGACAACGCATCGAATATGTCTGGACGCTATTCAGGACTGCAAACCAGGATAAGGGAAATCAATAAGTATGCTGATTATATTCCTTGTGCCGGGCACTCGTTAAATTTAGTCGGCGTTAAGGCAGCTGAATGTGTTAATGCAGTCGTTAAGTATTTCTATATCGTACAAAATTTGTACACATTTTTATCAGGATCGACTTATAGATGGCAAAAACTATTGTCATATTTAGGAACGAAAAAAAAAGTCGTTAAATCTTTATCCGCTACTCGATGGTCAGCCCGAGCTGATGCAATCATCGCTCTTTTCACAGGTCATACAGATATTACGAAAGCTCTAGATGATTTATCAAAGGATGATACGCAGTCTAACGAGACTAGACTTGAAGCTAAGACCATTTTAAAGCAAATTACAAAATTTGAAAATGTCTTTATAACTGTGGTATGGCACGAAATCTTGACACGTATTAATGATACATCTAAAAATTTACAAAAAAGAAAATATGGATTTGTATATAGCATGCAGTCTTTTAAATTCCTTAGAATTGTATTTATTGGATATCAGGGATAAATTCGATGAGTTTTTAGAAAAAGCAAAAAGCTTTACTGATATCTGCGAAAGTGAATCTACATCTGAGCCAAGAAATCGAAGAAGAAGCGTAAAACTTACTCGCTTTGAAGGAGAGAGTGAACATACACAATTTACTGGAGATGAAAAGCTCAAAATAGAGATTTTTTATCCGATAATCGATTCACTTTGTTCCAATTTGAAAACCAGAAAAACTGCTTACGAAACGGTGAATGATAACTTCAAGTTTTTTACTGCTCTACCAAACATGACATACGAAGGAATAAAAGAATGCTGCGAAAAGCTTGCCAGAAAATATGATCAAGACATTTCTGCAGAAAATTTAATATCAGAATGTTTACATTA